ATATATTTACTTTCAACCTGTTGTGGCGCAGGGGGCTTAAAAAAAGACAACAGTAGGTAGTGCCTAGCTAAGGTAATGAAGTATTTCTTATTATAAAATTGTCATGTGTCTCTAAAGTCTCACCGGTCAAGCTGTGGATGTTACAGAATATCTTAAACTAAGAGGATGGCACAATACATGAAAACTTTTATAAAATTTAATCAATTGTGATAGTGTTTTCCTTGGTGAGGGTGGTGTAAATCTTACCACCATTAACAATAACTAGCCATGGAAATTTTTCGTGTTTTCTAATTATTAGTATTACTGTGTGCTCTTAATAAGTACAAAGTATCTGATTGATGCCCACAGGATTAAGCATACACTTAAGTGCTTAGCAGAAGTTGGGTCCTTAAATGACCCTTCTGTATTTCCTTTGTCATGGCACTAAACCTGCTGTGCTTCTTGAACTTTATCTGAGTAGGTGCTGCATACTGTATTTGTATCAGACACATTTTTTTGTTTGCATTTTGGCTTTATGAAATGTCAGAATCAATCTTATACTAATGAAATGTCCAAATTTCATCTCAGCTATGAACATAGCTGCTAATCCTATAAGATGTTTACTTTCTGCCTCTCTGGCTATGTATAGTAACAGAGAGTCTGCCAACTTAAGCACTGCTGACAAACGTCTCCCTACTGCTAGTCAGTCTAATAAATGTTATTTCATTGAGTAAAGATTTAAAATTAATTAATTAAATGTCATTAAAATCCCTTGCAACCTTTGACAAGTTTGCTCTTACTGTAGGCCAGAAAAGCAGTTACCTGAATACTGCATGTGCCCCCTGAATCCCACCCAATTCAGTAATTTTATGTTTTAATCTTACGATTTCTTAACTTTAATCATTGTGGAATACAGATTTTGATGGTAGTGGCTGTGTTTTAGGCAGAAACATGGAGGGAGAAAGTAGAGAGAAAGGTAGGCTGCTCCAGGGGATGCAAAACCAACGGGAAAAATGTAAGCCAAAGGCCACTGACCAGAGTCCAACCTTCCTAGCAAATCCTACAGAGTGTAACTACAACTCAAGCTCTCTCAGACCTCTCTTAAAAATCAAACTTTGGCATTCTCAAAGTGAGAGCTATGTAATTCTCAGCATGCAATCTCAGGCTGCTTTCCTTGTTGAAGGCTGTGGTGAAACAGTTCGCAGGCAGACTGTCCAAAGAGTGTGGGTGTGTTTGTGTATGTAATGACATTTTTTACATTTAGTTTCTAAGCTTCAGGCCCTGATTTTCCACATCCATGCATTCTGAGTAGCCCTTGGCACCTATGCAAACACCACTAGAAGCCTGCTCAGGCAGAATGGTGTATTTATTTGCATTGGCATAGTGCCTGAGGAATTACCCAAGAATAGGGCCCTGGTGTGCTGACCACCATAGAAAAAAAGATCTCAACAAATGTTTCTCAGACTTCTGATACCCAGGGAACACTTTGTTTTAGATGGAAGTTGGTAGGCAGATGACAGATGTGGCCAAGCAGCCCTTACCCTGTGCAGCAAGTCCTATGAACGGTCGTTAGTGGTTGAACAGACAGAGCACACAGCCAACTTGCAAAACTTCCCTTGCAAACCATTTGGGAATTGCTGAACTTATCCCCCACCCCCCCCACCCCCGTTATGGAGCAGGCTGATAAGGGAGAGGAAGTAACACCCCCAGGAACATTGTGGGAATACGATTTGGCACCTAACATGTTCTAATGTAGGTGAGTACAAAAGCTCAGAAGCAGCAGCCACTGCCTGGCTTGGTACCTCTGACTGATGCTGCACTGCTATTGGCTGTGAAAGTAGGAGATCCATTTTCGGATGCTTTCCGGAGGTGTTACTGCTTGTCATAATTCTACTGATGGACAGAACCAGCAGTTTAGGACCAGATCTTATAGCTGTATGATCTGACATGAAACCTGGATGCGTTATCTCTATTTCTGCATTTATTTAGGCAGTGCCACTGGTACAGCAAAGGAAGCACAAATACAGTTTTAATTTTCTTGGATCAGAAAAACTTTCCCTCAGAAATCAGCCTCTGGTGTGGCCAGTGGAGACCCTATTCATTCACCTTCCTTAAACAAATTGATCGGGATTTACAGTGTTAGTATCTTCCTTGTTCCAGGGTGATCAAGGAAGGTCCACTTTTCTAGGTGACCCACCATTGCCTTTCATGTGTTCAGAAACAGGAGCCTAGCTTTTAAAAAGTGTAAATGAGATTTCTTCATAGTGTAAGTACAAAGTTGTCAGAAAACAGGAAAAACAGCAGCCCATGGGTCTCTGTTCTTGTGAATTTGTTGTGTTTTCCTCTTGTAATAGACTTGTCCTCGTCTGATTCTCACCCTTGTTCAGTTAAAATTGCTAGTGTTTCCATATACTTCACAGTGTCTTATTTTGGTATCTGTGAAGGATTTATCATAAAATCCATGCTACAGCATGACAGAGGAGTACTGATTAAATAAATGATGTTTCCTATGGTGACATGGGACCAAGTACACCTTTCTAGCTCTACCGTGCAGGACTCAAAATGATCCTTAAGTACCCTGTAGAATTAAGAACTTGCACCTCGGGAAGTCTCAGGCAGAAGGGTGTCATCCCTCAATGCCTGACTGAGAACCATTTTCTCTTTAGTATTTTTAACCTTCTCCTGCTGTTTAGTTCCTGCTCTGCCGCTTAATGTAATGCTCGTTTATTGCAGACTGCTTTTAGTTTGGGCCTTTTAAAAGCTCCCTGAGGCACAATGATGCCTAGAAATTAATGTATTCCCTTCCCGCACATCAAGCAGATGTGTGTATATTGAGTTAGTGTCTCTAACGTTTAGCTGATTTCTTTTCAGAGCATAGCTGAATCACTGCTACATACCAAACCCGTTTGTGGCCTTTCTTCCTTAAACTATTGGGATATGTAGATTTATATACACAATATTTTTAGTTTTAATTGCTAAGTGCTTGTGTAACTTGCAGGTTTTTATAAAATTGTTAGTCCTAAATATGCTACACTATTGGGCAGCATAGTGCTCCAGTTGTTGAATGTTTTTGCATGCTTAAGGCACCCGTGGCATTCCAAGACCTTGAAGTGTTGTCTTCATCATCTTTTTCTTGCCAGTTGGAATAGAAGTCATCTTTGAAAAGGTTACTGCTAGTTGAAAAGCTGAGGACTTCGGTTAACATGCTAGGCAAAAGCATCCTTGCCAAGGAATGAACATGCATTCCAGCTAACTGTACAGCCAGGTTAGGGTAACTCCTGCTTCTCCTTCTCTAAAGTGAAAGAAAATCCTCTCCCAATGTTCATATTACACAAAGCCATGACTCTTACTTCTCAACTATGGTTGAGGTCACTCACTTTACCTGTAAATGGCAATGTTTTATTTTCTGTCGGAAAATGGTGATATCTCTCCATGTACTTCTTTGTATCATATCCCCTCTTGCTGGAATAGTCAGCTCTTTGGAAGAGCATCAGTCCTGTCCTACTTTTCTACCCTTAACATAAAGAAAAGTGACATCACACTCAGAACTAAAAATGCCAACGTCAGGCTGCATTGTGTTTATCAAGGTAAGACATCATAAGGATGATTTCCTGGAAATCCCCCAGCCCCTTAAGGTAGACAGAGTACCCTTCCCACTGTACTAAAAAGACTTAGCTGTTCAAGTAAAGTCTTTTAAAAATATAGATTTATTTTAAGCATGTGAAACATCAGGATAGGCACAATTATAAACATAGAAAGATTAAACATGGCAATGAACTTGCAGCCAGACTACGCAAGCAGTAACTTAGAGGCAGAGGTTACTATTTCACATACGAAACCTGCTGAAAATTGGTTATTTTTGGTACTAGACATTCCAGACTTTGCTCATCTCAGTTTTAATTTGAAAATATCCTGTCATTCCACCTCTTCCAAGTTTTTATTTAGAAGTTACTTGCGTAAATATCTATATATTTTAAATACTGTATAAAGTGCATTCAGATGAAGGACTGAAAGAGGTAAAGGCCCAATTTCCAGTGCACTAGAGGAGACTGAGGCAAAACATACCCAAATCATTGACTAGAAAGAGCTTGGTTTTGAATCACACTCTAAGAACATACTGAGTAATGGCACAGTAATGCAAACACGGTTTCTAGGAAACAACTGTAGAGTAGATATTAACTACTAGAACTATGGCTTGACAGCATATTTGCTTTTTAAGTTTTGCAGAGCAAGGTCACATTCCTCTGTTGATAATTACTAGAATAAAAATACGCTGAAGTTTGAAATGTTCCTCCTAATGTGATCCTCAACAGTTGTTACTGTAAACAACATTCTGTTTATTTTGAAATAGTCCATTAATTCTTGGGTCTTATTGTCTGCATTTTCTTGTAGACTGTGAGCTGCTATCTTGGAATTCCAATTAGTTTTTTATTGTTAGAAGTGCAGCCATTTCCATCTTTAACTAGCCTTTAAGCCTAAAGCTGTTTCTGTTAACATCAGTGAATCAGCATGTCTTGTTCAGAAGCTTAGGCATGATAGTTCACAAGTAGGTAAGGGAAATCTAAGGACAGCTAAAAGAAAACACCAGCTTCAACACTCAGCTTCTTGTAACTCATTTGCGTCTCTCAGAAACTTGAGAAAGGCTACGGGATATTGCAAATTGAAACAGTGGCATCATTTTTTTCCCTTAAGACATGTTGGGGATGTAGAAGAATTGAGCAGTACCAAAAATTCCACTTGTTTTTACACAAGTGGACTCCTCAGTCTCCTTTCTGAGAGGTCACTGCAGTGCTGGAGCCTCTTACCCCTCTTAGCACATCTGTTACTTTTGTGGAAGCATGAACTTGGAAGACAATGAACAACATTCCCAGTATTGTGATACTGACACCAACGACAGAATAGTTACAGTGGTTTTTCCCTTACACTCAAACAGGAATAATTCCTCCTTGATATGACAGTAAAAAAAGAAGCACGTTTTTTTTTAATTGTAACTTCCATCTCTATTTTATATCAGTTGTGCTTATGAATAGCTAGGGAAAAAGATCCTGTAGAATTCAAGAGCTGAATTCTTTAACTATTCTCAGTCATCCTTTTTGTCAGAGGTACTTGAGTTATCCTCTTCATTGCCTTCAGGACAGACTTTATTTCTTGCAATTGGTGTTGTTTCTGAGACTGGGATTGTACTGTTTCTAACTGGACTGTGTTTGACTTCAGGTGACTCAATGTCATCCTCCTCCAACATATCTGACTGGTATCTCTGTAGCTCTAGGTATGTAGTAAACAACTTGGCATATTCTGGATGCTTGAGTGCAAAGTCCTTGAACTCATCTGAAAAATATAAAAAATACAGATACTATAGCGCAGCAACAGAATCAAAGAAAATTTCAGTCCCTGCTCCTTTTACTGAAGCTGATCTCCAGTTAGTTTCCTCTGAAGCATCTCAGGCAAATCACACAGAGTATCTAGGATGTGCTTCAACAGTTTTCCCCAGAAACAGGGTATGGAACCAACAAATAATTTCAGCGAGAAAAAAGGTAGGAAACTCGCTGTCAATATGACTATCTGAGTGCTCTTTGTTACGAAAGGACATAACTTACCATAGGACAGCTTCCCGGTTTCATCTGCATCTATTTCTTTAAAGAGAACAGAAACATCAAGCTCAGGCACCCCCAGAGCTGACTGAACAATAGCAGCAAACTCATCTTCCGTTATAGTGCCATCCTCATCCATGTCAAAGAGCTGGAAAAGACATTATGTGTAGAAATAGTTTAGCATCCATTTGCCTATGAACCTTCTGTGCACATCAGCCACCTATACTAGGTTTCTAGTATTCAAGAGGTGATCTTCAAACAATGCCTGGGATTTGAAGAGACCGGTTGCATCTCAGCTACTTTCTCTTACAAAAGATTTTATGTATTTTCTCTGGACTAAGACTAAGCAATGCAATGTACATGCTATAGTTGGGATTAGAATATTCTCTAATATGAAAAGTATGTAGCAAACATGCAACAGCAAACAAACCTCACAGCATTAGTTCAGTAATAAACTCATACAAAACTGATAAAAACAAAACACAAATAAAGGTTTATGTTAATTGTCACCATAAGCTATGCTAAGGGTCTACTGGATTCAGCCACTGTATACTGGAGCATCTTAGGTCTTAGTCTTCATTTTCATTACGTTATGGCACATCTGCCATCAGATCAAATTTGCCATAGTTTATGCTCTGACATAAAATACCTAAATTTTAGTATATGTGATCTGTCACCCACCTTGTTAATTGTAATTAACAAGGAATTTTGGTGACTGGAATGCAGGCAGTAGATGTACACTGATCATCCTATCTTTCCCAGCGCAGTGACAGTAAGCATCTGCTGTGAAACAACCCTTGAAAAATACAAGGGATGGATGGCTGTAATTCTTAAGTACTTGCTACAGGCAAACTTTTCCATTGCGAAGGAAAGCACATTTAGTGGCAGAGAAAACAAGTAGCAAAAGGAAACCCATAGGTCCTTTTCAGATTGAAACAGGCTTTTACCAGCTGAACCAGTCACTTCCCACTGAAACTAGGAATTACCACAAATTACGGATTTTATAATCAGTGCAACTGTTAAGATACTGAAGAGTATAGTCTAGAAAACAAAACAATGAAGCAGCAACAATAGCTGCTAGGCTTGCTTCTTCATAGGAATCTCTAGTGATAAAAAATCCCTGAAAAAGCACAGATGACTTCGAACAACTGTAGTGCTTATCTGTAAAGCAGCCAGTGGATATACTGGATTGCCATAAAAATTCTGGTACTTCTTGAGTATGCATCAGTACTAAAAATTATCCAGTTTAAGATGAACATGATCCATATCTCAATATATTGTTCAATATGGTTCATAAGAACAGATCAGTGGGTAAAATGACTGAATCTGTGTCAAAGGTCTACTAAAAAAAAAGGAGCATTTTCCTATTCAGGGGTTCACAACCTGGGCATCCCTGGTCACATATTGCCTGCTTGTACCTGAGATCTGAAAGGAGCTACTGCTCCTTGACTAGTTGTACTATCAGGACACCATAATACAAACCAATATATGATCTTAGATGCAGCCCAATTTTGGATGTGCCAGTCCTGAAAAGCCCCTCTTGATTTTTTCCCCCCCTCCTCTTTGTTAACAACAGTGACTCTACCGAGCGCTTGACCCATAAGAGGATATTGCTCCATCTATTGTCTATTTGTGACATTGAAGAATCACAGCAGAAAAAACCTCAGGCGAAGAAACTGCAAGTGCTGCTGAATCATTTTTGGAGTTAGCCTGCCAAGTTACATATTCATTACTGCCTTCACATGGCTTTTGAAACCCTTTTCTATGAAGCTGATGCCTGCCGTTCTCTCCTTCCCCTTCAGACTCTAAATGTCAATTGGTTTAAGAGTATTACTCACATTTGCATAACAGATTGAAGCTATAAACTTATGATTTGAAAGCTAACAGATTTACAGTCAGCCTTGATTTGTCAGGTTTGTAGATTTACACTAAATTGAACTTACCTTAAATGCCATCCGAATAGTCTCTTCTGTGTTGGCTGGGTTACAAAGAATAGACAAACCAATTACATATTCTCTGAAGTCGATGGTGCCATCTCCATTCTGTAACCAAAATACGTATGGCAGTAGTTACAGTTAATATAGCAAATCACTTTAAAAGCTGTTGTATAAATCAACTATACAACATGCACTACGACAGTTTACAACACTAGAGGTATTTGTTCTTCCTGGAAAAAGTACTAACAGCTCGCTAAATATATGTAATACTAGGGCTGAAGTAGCAATATGCATATTTTCAATAGCTAGAAATTGGGTATCAATTTCAATCTTATAAACACCCAAACAAAAAAGATTTAAAACAACTTACAAGTTTTTCTTTAGTATATGACCTCCGAGAAGCCTCTAGCAAGAACTGGAATACGTGTGTTTAAGGTAACTGGAACAGTTCATGTAGCACTGGCACTTGCTAAAGTTCAGAGACCAATGCAACATCCTAGAATAAACAGGCCAACCGTGAGGCTGTTGCCTTGAGTTAATTCTTCCCAAGAACCTTCAGCAATAAAATATATGCCAGTGAAAGTACAGCCTGATGCAGTAAATCTACATGGTCTATCTTAAGCGTTTCTTTGAAGCAACTGCATTGCCCTACATGGTATTTTGAAGCCAATACACTGTCTTAACCTTTTAAGCCCGAAGTGCAATGGATTCATTGTAACAGCCTCTCTGATAATTCCAGTTTTGATCTGAACGAACATTTCAATGTGGTAACTACAAAGCTACATCAACAAAACATTTGAAGCTTGCTTTGATGGGATTCGTGATGAATTCTATGTAAGCTGCATTATATTTGCAGATAGGGAAAATGGCAGATGCCCATTGAAATATATGCTTAAGTCAGTAGTGTTCCTGTGACCACACTGAAAGTTCCTTGAGGGTTTTGGGAAACATCCAGTCTGGGGAAGAAGCTATATATAAGTGTTAGGTGAAGTAGAGTAGTTAATGAAAGCGTAGTAGAGATGACTAGTAGCTCATAGTTTGGAACATTCACAATAAGGGCATTCATCAAAAACATTTTAAAAGCAAACAGACGTGTAAAGCGGAGTTCCTTTTGTGGATAATGTATTGTACATTTCAAGAAGAAAAAGATTTTTTAAAAGGTGGACTCCCTAAGTCTGAGGACAGCACAAAACTTTTTCAGCCAAGTGAGAGAGAGGTGGTCTCCTGGGTAAATCTGTAGTGAACAGTCAGATCGAGATTCTATTTCTGGCTCTCCTACCAACTTCTAATGCGCACTTGAGCATACCAACCTTAACCTTTCTGTTCTTGTCTTTCTGCTGCTGAAGAGTGGAATATGGAGATTGCCAGTGGAGAAATGCTAAGGCTGCTCTGTAGAGTGCTTAGAAAATCTTGGGTTCTATGAATCAGGGATTTCTGTTACTGAATTTAGGTCTAAGATAGTCCTTGATTAACAAAATGTGTATAATAATGGTTTCAGTACTAACTTTTCTTTATCGAGCTATATATTTGACAGGATTTAAAACTGCTAAGATAGAACTTTACTTAGCCTTCAAAACCAATTAAGGACTGTTTTGCATGGACAACTGTTATTTTCTTTATATTGATGGTCTAACCAATCTTTTTTGAAGACGTGCAACCTTTCAACATCTGGTACTTTAAAGGCCTGTGAATTTTAAGGAAACTTTTTAGCAAAAATATGAATAGTCTTTAAGTTACTTTCGTGTGTGTCTAAGGGATATAACTTTTGACAGTTTTTAATCATTAGAAAAGGACAATGTTCTCTCATAAATGCTATTTTATTTACAAATCTGTGCTCTCATTGTGCTGCAGAGTTTGACTTTAAAGATTTTGGCTACATCATAGTTCTCATAACAGTAACAGATCTAACTTTAAAACATATCATTATAAACCTAAACTTTTAAAACAACTGAAGCAAGAGTGTAGATAATAATTATTCAAAGTTCCATGGAATATTATTTTTGGACGGTTTTATAGACTGTATTCTTAGCACAGGATTGTTTGATGCCATTAGAATATTTTTTAAAATTTATTTTTAAAGTTAAGAATAAGTATCACAGGAAAAGAATTGGGAAATAAACTTTAAATAAAATAGTCTCATTAAAAAACAACTTCTGAAATCAGTTAACACAGCTTTGGCTGCGCATGGAAAAATGACAAGAGCTAATAAGGGTCGTATTACTTTCATTAAGGTGCTAAAACCCAGTAGTCAAAACTGAATGCAATCTGATACACAGAACTCCAGCCATCTGAGTAGGAAATAAACTTACTATACTTGCAAGATCATGTTGTGACTAGCTCTGCTAAACCCTATGATGCTGGCTGACTTCCAAATGCTCTGGCATTTTGGTTAAGGAGAAATTATAGGGTTGTTGCTTGGAAAAAGAGATGGGAGTTAAACTGAAAATGCAGGAAAACCTTCAGTGCTCATGTAGCACCACCGCAAACAAGCACTTGCAATAGTCTTTCTATGCATATCTAGCTGTGTTTGCAGCCTATGCATCCAAGAATATTTTAAGGAAGTGGTGTGGTTTAACCCGGCAGGCAGACGAACACCACACAGGCGCTCGCTCACCGCGCCCCCCCGCT